ATTAGAATAATATGTATTTCCACAGTATGTACATGCATAAGCAAGTTACTTGTCCTTTCTCTATAAGGGTAAAACCCTGTCATTATTATATATTACTTGTTATGTTAATAATTCAGAAAACAGAAGTGTCATAGCAAAATACTAGCCTAAATTTTTGCAGTTGTGTTTCTGTTTTGTTTATTTGTTCTAAAGTAATTCCCTCTTTTCACCAACTCCCTTTTTCTATTCCCCTATTTAAATTTATTGGGCTTATGCAAGAATGCTGTGCCCCTGAAAAAAAAATTTTGGGAAAGTCACTCTGCACACTGAGGCTTGTATCAGGTTCCTTTGAAAATTATGTAAAAAGGGAAACTCTTGACAGAGCTCTAGGAATTTATTCTCTCTCTATAGAGCATTACGTTAGCAAAGACTGGACTCCAAAATGGATTCCCACATAAATGTATGTGATTTCAAAAAGGGAGGCTGCATAAAACTTCTTTTTTTATTTGCAGTGAGAGAAAACAATAATTCTTTTCCTTAGGACTATTTGAAATTTAATCTTCAAACATTTCAGTTCTGAAGTAATTAAGTATAAACGCAATGTAAAGCTCTTCTTTCTAACTTCCTCAAAAAGGACCGCTGTCAATTAAAAGCCATCATTTATTTCTTCCAGGTTAAAAATGCTGATTTTTCCTCCTGTGCCAGTTCCAAAGATTAAAGGGATTGACCCAGATCTCTTGAAGGTAATATTGTGCTCTAAAATCTACAGTGGGAATCTTTGTAGTAATAGCAGGTGACAATTGTTGTCCCAGGCAGAAAAATTTTGTAGGAAAAGATTATGACATGGGGGGAGTTGCCACAGAATTAGTTTTCATAAAATAATAAAAAAACCCTTGCAATTATTACATCAGCTACAGTTACCTTTCCTTAAGTTAACATCATAAAAAGCACAAGCATTTTTATTATTCCCTTCATAACATTCATTTTTTCTTGCTTTATAGAAAGGGAAGCTAGATGAAGTGAACTCCATTTTAGCCAGCCATGACAACTACAAGACACAGCTGTACAACGATGACTTGTGGGTTGAGTTTATTGAGTTGGACATAGAAGACCCTGATGAAAAGAACAGAGTCTCAGATACTGACAGGCTCCTGAGTGAAGATCATCTGAAATCACATGGTTGCTTGGGAGCGAAGGATGATGATTCTGGACGAGCCAGTTGTTGTGAACCAGATATTCCAGAGACAGACTTCAGTGCAAGCGACATATGTGATGCCATCTTTGATATCGATCAGTTCAAAAAGGTAACTGAAAAAGAAGATGATCTCTTGTGCCTTGATAGAAAAGATAATGATGAGTCACTTCCAAGCCTTGCCGACACAGACACCCAACAGCCACATATGAATACTCAGTCCGAAAATAGCCAGCTGTGGCCACCTTTTGTAGACAGCATTGACTCAGCAAGCCCATCAGTCCATACCCAGCAAAGTAACCAGAATTCATTGACAAATACTGACTTTTACACGCAAGTGAGTGATATTACTCCAGCAGGCAGCGTTGTACTTTCACCAGGGCAGAAATCCAAGGTGGGGAGAGCACAGTGTGAAGGCTGCACAGAACAAAACTTCACCATGGACAATGCCTACTTCTGTGAGGCAGATGTGAAAAAATGTATTGCTGTGACTTCCCACGAAGAGGATGAGCCACATGTTCAGGAGCAAAGCTGTAACGAGGACGCTTACTTCACCACAGAGAGCCTTACCACTACCGGTGTCAATCTTGGAGCTTCAGCAGCAGAAACTCCAAGTTCAGAGATGCCTGTTCCAGACTATACGTCTATTCATATCGTTCACTCTCCACAAGGCCTTGTGCTTAATGCAACTGCACTGCCTGTGCCAGACAAGGAATTCAACATGTCTTGTGGGTATGTGAGCACAGACCAGCTGAACAAAATCATGCCGTAGCTCTTCTTTGACTAGGTGTGTGCAGTATTTCACAGCAGAGAGTCAGCTCGGGCTTGTATGCTGAAACCAAAATGAAGTCTAAAAGTGTGTCGTGGTTCTTATAATTTTATCTGAAATGTTGCAACATAAAATATTCATCAAAATATTCCTATTGTGTTCTGTAAATATTATCTATGAATTTGTCTTGAGAATGTTTTACTAGCAGTGACTGTCTTGTTCTTGTGGGTGTTGATTTTTGTGATACTAAACATTGAAATTACTATGTTTAATGTACAGTAAATCATGCATTTTGATAAAGCTAAAAATCAGGTGGTTTAAAGTCTAAGAATTTAGTAAAAACCATGCTGTTGGCAGAGATCTTTATATCAATAATTTGGAACTGAACATATAGGTGAAAAAACAAAAGTAGCTTGAATAAATAACACATCTATTTTGATTTATATAAATTGATAAGATATATTTTAATATTTTAGTCATAAAAACATAAACGTTTTCTATTACACTACACACTGTAGCTCAATTATGATGACCCACCTAAGGAATGTAATTGCTGCAATCTTAAAAAAGTTTTCTGTTTTATAAAAGTTTTGTTCGCAGCAAAAAGAAAAAATAGATTTTTACAGAGCCATTTTATACCTCCAAAGAAACCTGTAGAGAAATTTTGAAATATTGTAGAAACTTAAAGTAACTGATTCTATTAATTTCTTACGGTAACTAATATAGAAATATACATTCAATTTAAAGTTTTGTAGAAAACCTTAAAATAGACAAAATATTTGGGCAAATTGTTATGTTCTTTGTCAGATTCTGCTTAATGCTAATAATATACTTTTTTAAGCAAAATTTTGTTGACCACAGAGTTCTATTAAACAGTGTGCAACTATACTTTCACTTAAAATTTTTGAGAACACATGAATAAGATCTGGTGACTTAGCAGCATAATCTCTTCACATTTGACCAACTTCTGAAGCCCTCCTACAGCCAAAAGAATCACTACATTTATTAGTTTGCGCCACATAAAGTCTTGATCAAAAAAATAAAATAAGGACTTCAGGAGTTAGCCAGCAGTTCATTTTTAAAGCTATAACAGGATTAAAAGACTTCAGTGGAACAAGGGAATTGAATACAGTATTGTTCAAAAGTGTTTTTCGTTTTTGCAGCCTAACAGCATCTCCTCTGACCACGTTAGGCAGACTTTCAGAAGGAAAGAAGAGAAAACTGAAACTCAGTGGGAAAGCTCTCTTTTTTCTTAGGTATATTAAGAACTTGAGAGAGTTTTGCAATGAACTATTATTGCTTCAGAAGTTACCTTCTTAGCCGTGGTTTCATAATAGCAGGGTTCTTCTTAGAAAGCAAATAGGGATTCATTTCAATAGCAAATAGGTTCATTTTCTCTCTCTCTCTGAGCTGAACAGAAGTGTATGAAATGCAGCGAATGCAAGTCTTGCTCATGATGTCTCCCACTGAACTCACTGATGCTCTCTTTGTGACCAAGGGCTACAGGACTGGGCCCAACTATTGGGTGGGATTTTTAAGTTTAGCACGTACTTTATGGTAAATGTGCATTAGATATTCTGCTAATTTGCTGCTATATTTTTCTAACAGCTACGTTATTTAGTTTCATATAAAATTTCATAGATGATAGACACTAATGCAAGTAATGCCTATGTGTGTGTTTGGAAGAAGTTTCTTACTCTGTTTCTATTGCCAAAAATAGTTAAATACCTCAATCAAACTCAGAATGTCATTTTGGTACTTTACTGGTCACACAAGCCATTATATGCCGGTCAGAAGATGTGTCTTTCAGTTTCTATTTAACTTTCCTTATGTCAGTGTTCTGTTTGTTTTTCTCAAAGTTTAATAAATGTATTGTCTTTGATCTGTCCTGACACAATGTGTATTATTGCAGATAATTTTTTTTAATGGAAAATAGAGATTTTGTTAGGAGAAATCAAGTATTTCTCATGGAATGAAGTAGAAGGCAGCTTTCCTTAGAATAGAAGCAATGCCTAATGAGATCAGTGTTTTCACTGATTGAGATATATATAGTTAAAAACAGAAGCACGGACATAAATTTATAGATGGAGGTAGGACATGCTGTACCCAGAACTGGCCAAGACGTGTTACTAATTTAGCAGACCAGTTTACCTTTGGCTGGAACAGCCTGTGGCTGCAAATAAATAAGCTGCACTAGTTCAAGATTGACACCTACAGTTGAATCCACAAATCAGATATTCTGACAAACCTCAGTAGTTACTTGTTGTGATAGGTAAAACCTAGCAGTATATGAACTCTGAAATGTCAGAAATGTCAGTCTGTCTCTATGGAAAATGCCCTGTCTTGAACGTCTCCCAGTGCGTAACTTAGTAATGTACTACTGCCTCTCTTCTCTCTCTAGAAGTAGGGAGGGAGCTGTTGGAGGAATCCAGCTAGACAAGGGTAAACCCTTTCCTCCCAAGGGAATCACGGTGTGATTCAGTTCCTCTACACAGACATCCAGTGCCATTTAAGGTATGTAATCGGGCTTCCAGGTGCTGGTCCAGAACAGCACGTCTTGTGTAGATTCTGTCTTATCTAAAAGCCTGAATGATGGTAGATGCCCATGTTTTGGCAGTTGAATTGATCCCCAGTGGAAGAAAACAGCTCCAGGAATGTAAACATCTGTGTCAGGTAGGTCTAAGCTACCATTATAGTTAATAGTCTAAAGAGCTACTTAGCTGACCAGATACAGGTGTCTGCTTTAGGTGAGCTGATTAGGGCTCTCCACTCTTCAGACTAGAATGGGAGCATGGACATATTGCTCACATTCAGACACCAAATATATTTGTTAATTAAGATGTCTTCATGTGAATTTCACCTTAGCTGAACCGTTGGACAAGGTAAACCAGAGAGGGGCATTGGTGTTCTCTTATGGTTTATACTGTCTGTAGAAACAACTTTGTCTGTAGAACTCGATGCAAATAAATAATCATGGTGAGTAAATATGCTTGCTTATACCTCCTGCTTGAAGAACTAAGCTTCAGAAGGCTTATGCCTTTTATAGGGCTCTAAAAATACCTGAGCTCCAGGGGGAGTTGGAGGATTCACAACTGAGCTTTAAGAAATGGCAGTGAAGGCAGTGGTTCACCACTGCCATGTGGGGAACTCCAGCTCCCACTACTTTCACCTGTGCCCATTCCAGTGCTCTCTGCCAGTGCCCTTCCATGAGCTGATCCAACTTTCTAAGACCTGAGAAAATCCTGAAAGCAAAGTATCAGAAGTTACCCTCTGTTGATCAATGAGTTAAACTAAGCAAAGTCCCGGATGAGCAGCAGGGAGGAAAGGCAGGACCACATGGCCAAGAGCAAAGGACGGAGGAGCTAGAGTGATCTTCCCAGGAATATCTTCTTGGTGAAAAGCTCCCTCATGCAGCCCACTCATGCCGACAAGAAACAGGAGGAATACACAGTTCAAGGTAGGTGCGTGTTTGCAGGGACATAGTATAATCACCTCTTTTGGTGGTAACTATCACCTAGGTCAGCTTAAAGGGACTGTGAAAAGCCAGCTTGAGCTCCTTCCCACCTCCAGCAGCAGTGCAGCTCAAGTAATCACATGGCTAATGACTGCAGTCTGCGTACGGTTCACATGGGTGTTTAGAAGAGAAATCCAAGTGTCAGACTTACGGTTGTCTCTGAACTTTATGTTTTATACTGCAAACCGCTGTTTTCCTACAGAACACAGCAACCTATTACTTCAAGATATGATGCACTTGCCAGATACAGAAAAGCTTATATTACATGGTTGCAAAGCAACCTGTTCATTTACTTCCACCTTTTCTTTAAAGTGGGAGAAAATATATCTGTGCTCTACAGAAATTAGCTGTGGGTGGAGCTGTAGGAGTGGTGAGGATGACAACTGTAGTCAGTAATTGTAATGAAAAGCAGATGCAGCTATTAAAATCAATGCATCCAGTAAATTGACACAAATGTTTGACAGGTTTAATTTTTTTTGCTGTAGGCTTTGGTATTTCTTTTGCATAATATGAACTTCTTTATCCTAATATATGAAATTTAGCTGACTAATGATACATTAGCTTCCTGAAATTAGTCTGAGAAAGCAGACGACCCTTCCACATCATGCTGCAAATTGTGAGAGAACATAGCTGAACTCCCCTCCTTCAAACTGGCAGGAATAAAAGTCTGCAGAAGGCTTAGTAGGAGTAAAAGCAAAGTTGAAGAGCTGACAACTTTCTGTAGCTTCCTGTCACAGATGCTATAAATGATGCTTCCACTACTGTCCTTGGTCTGCTTTTGAGCTCATGCTGAAGGAAATAAAATCTGTTCCATAAGAGACACCTGAGGCCTAGGCATGCCAGGAAACTGATTCCTCACACTTTTTTCTTCAGGAGTAAAATTAACAGAACATGTATTTTACATATTTTTTCACTTGCTTATGAAACCTTATGATATTATACCACAAAGACATAAAGTATAGAACCATACAGTGTCGGGTAACTTTCTCATACTAAGAAAGAAGTTAAATTTTTTGATCTATTTCACAGCAGCTCTCTGTGTAGCACGTACAGTGCTACAATCTTGAGTAACAAACAAAGGAAATAACAACCTTGCCCTCTCGAATGGAAAACTTCTTCAGAAACTAATTCTGTGAGACAACTAGATGTACTTTCCTTGGAAGAGTAAGGCACAAGCTTGGAAAGTTACCAAAGACAACGTGATTCCTAGCGAAACTGTGCTACCAAATGAGTGGGTCCAACCCTTCTTCGACAGCTGTCTGAGTGCCGTATGCTTGTTACCCAGAGATGTTACGATCATTACGAGCACCCTGTCCTCCATCTGTGGCCTAGCTGTGTGGGATTCCTTAAGCTAAGTTTTTACCTATGTGTTAGAATTCTTTCTCTGTCATGACATATTTTTTGATGGAATCAGGAATATTTGCTAGTGCCTTGAAACGCCATGAAAACTTAAGTGAAATTTCCTGAGCCAAACTACTGATGGAAGAATGTGCAACTCCGGGCAAGGACCTGTGTTAACTGCAATTTGATTTGTAAACCTACAGTATTTAAAAATGCAAAATTTTACTCAAGTTTAGTTCATACGATGTGTAGTGGTAGTCAGACTACAAGACCAGACTTAGCCAAAGAATGACCTATTTTATGAAAAGCTCTAGGGACACAAAGTCTCTTGCTTTTATAGTGTAAATAATGGCAAAGTTGTGTCACTTTCTTCAGAATGTGATTAGTATTAATTATCTGAATTCTACCAATAACCAATCAATCAATTATAACAACCTTCTGAATTTACTTCATTGAGGAATGTATTAAATTACTATTTAGAAGCAAAATACATGCTTTTAGCCTGGCACTGATAGTTGAGCACTGTCACGAACAGAAATACAAGAAAATAGACGCATATGTGTCTTTACAAGTTATCTTCCTGCTTCCATAGTGTAGTAAATGATGCTTTAGACACAAGCATTCCTTTCTCACAAGACTGCCCCCAACTGTTTAACTTCCACAGAAGAAGGGCTAATAGTCAATGGAGAGAATAGTAAGAAACAAAAGAAAAAAAATCAAAATACTGTCCAAATTGACTCCTTTGGATAGGATCAGTAAGACAAGATTTGATAATCTCTGGAAAATGTAATCCCTAACAAAGCAATATGTTCTTATGGTGTACTAGATGTATTTAAGAAAACATGCTCCTTGCCAATCTGACACATACACATACATTTGTGTAGTTAAAACACTCACTACCACCCTGATTTTTTTAGAAGTACAAGAAAACTAGGTCAGAAGTTCAGCATAACTTTAAAAGTACAAGAGATCCAGAATCACAAATAAATTATAAGAATATAATTGTTATAATTGTGCTTAAAATTGAAATTATAACAGTTTGACCCATCAGTATGTCAACAGAAAGGTAAATCTGATGTAAATGGGAAAGCAAAGGAATGCAGGCTAGGTTACTTAGGAAGCCAGTGGAAGCAATACAATTACTTCTCTTGACTACATGCTTCTTTCTCTATTGCTCTTCATCCCTAAGGTTCATCTGTCTTCTTTGTCATATCCTATTTAAACTGGATAGAATACCTACCTGTTAAATGCTTCCAAGCAAAGAATGTTTTTTGTAGGCTCACACTGTGGCTTGCTGGACAGAGCTTTGACATGGTTGGAATGCTGACATGGCTGCAGTGTAATAGTAATTCATAAAGTGAAAATCTTTTGAGGAGAAAATTATTCTAGTGACTTCAAGTTTTACAGAAGCAAATCATCAAAATCAACAATCTATTATTTTTGCATAATTATGTTCTCTCTGAAACTGACTCCAAGTGGATGATATTGATACACTCTAATGAATAATACTTGACTACTGAAGAACTCAGGGCATAAGAATATCTGAATCTGCCTGTGTGCAGATAGACACTTTCTTCCCTGTAGCACAAATTAAACTTCTGTATTAATGTAGTTAAATTATTTAGTCTAGGTATGTGATTTCTGTTTAGGCATGGGTACATATGTATATGCTTGAGAAAATTTTAAACAAGGTCAACATAAATGAGCATCTGTGTCAGACAAAGAGCAAACAAGCTGTGCTACAAATTAATGTTTTCACTCCTGCTTGGGTGATGGTTGAGACTTTTAAAACAAAAATATTGTTCTGACAAGCAAAATGACTGCAAAGGTCTCTTAAGCTCTAATGACATATGAAGGGCTTTTTTCCTCTTGGAAACAGCATGGACCAGTCTGTCTATGCAACAAAGTGCTGGAACGTGCTGTCTACCTTCAATACCATATGGCTAAATATTTTATTAAAAGTTATGCTACAAACGAACACAGGCTATTCCAGAGAAAGACTTGTGATCATACAGTAAGCTGGTTTTCCATCTGTAGTAATTTAGAAAGTTATTTCAGAAGGCAAACCAAAGCCATTTTAAGTTGAGCATGTAGTACAGATAACACAGAAGATGATTGTCTCATTTTTAGATCTGACCCTAATGACTCCTTCTAGAGATTACAAAATCCAGGTTTTTACAGAATCACAGAACAATACACATTTTAGGAGGTTTCCTTTCCCATTTACCTAGTGTTTATCTTCCTTTTTTTTTTAGTTCATCCTGCATGACAGAACACTCCTGTTGAGATTACAAGAATATGGAATTCATATAAGCAACATCAGAAATCTACTGCCTACCAAAGTCCTGTTACAAATAATTAAACTTGTATTTTGATACATACCATAAACACTAAGCCATTATTTTTTCAGTTACTGAAGATATAAAGCAAATATTAGGTCATCCTTTGCCAAGCAAAAAGACACAAGTACAGAGGAAAAAAATCCTTTGTGAAAGAACATTTCTGTTCTTGTTTCTTAACAAAATAACAGCTCAAGCACATGCTGAAACTAGGTGGCCTTTGATGTTGTTTGATGGCTCCAATTATGAGGATAAGGTCACATATGTAGGGTTTTTTTTTTCCCCTAAAACCTCCCACCCCAAGACTTAAGTAACAAACATGCATGAGTGATAGTAACATGCAGTCAACTATTTTTACTGAGGTTACTTTAATGGCTACAGATATTGTTTTAACAGATGTATTTGCCTACACACATATATATTTATTTATATATTTAAATATCTATATTTAAATGTGTTCTAGTATATTAACCTACTTAATAAACCTGTATTTGTATGTATTTGTCTATATTGGTATGTTTTCATCCTTTGGACAAATACAGAACATTTTGGAGAATGCAACAGAAATGGGTGCTTCTATACCAAAAATCCTTCCTGACAGACAGGTTTCATCTCCTAAACCAGAAAAATAATTTTTTTTAGCAAGAGGAAAACAACATAGCAAACAATATGCTGATGCCTAAGATGCATGATAGTACTATTTATCCCCACATCTTACTAAGCTACTCTGCAGCCTGACACTATAGTGTGTTTGTGATGTGTTCTCTAGCAGTCTGGGGCAG